TTCAGCCCCTTTGAGTGCTGATTACAAAGTGATTAGTAGGGATTACTGTGAGATTAACAATGCTTGCAAGGAAGATGATTTGATTCATTCCAGGCATTAGGGACAGAGGTGGCAGATGGTTTAGTTATACCAAGAGAAACTGTAAAGCATACAGAATAAAAGACAGTTGGATTTTTATCCTATTTCATTTGAAAAAGGAAAACATAGCTCTTCATGGGAGAGGACAAGTTGTTTAAAGTTGCATAGGCTTAGGTCATACCTTTGCAATTTGTCAAGAGTGTGAAAATGATGTGATTAGTTTCTGTCTGGGAGGAATGGAAAGATCCAGATAACGAAAACATTAAGGCTAGGATGCCCATTTGGTCCTTTATGTATTAATTAAAACCCTTTGATGGGAATTTATGATGTGAACTAACTTGCTCGGTTTACCATTTAGACAGGTGTGGAAGGAAGTAGTTTAGATGTTCAGACTAGTACTTGCATATGCAGATAACATGTTAATGATTTTATCAGCTGATGAATCTGTAAAAAACATCCCTTGAATACGGAAGCCTATGTTTAAAGCAGCTGGTTCTAAAATAAGTTTAAGACCAGCTATTTGCTTGATAGGGCTGACAAATACGAACAGGTGATGATCTTGGAAGAGGCTGTTGTTTAAAAATGAATCAACTGGGAGTTTAGGAGGGTTTTTCAAGAGTCAAAACAATGAAAAAAACCAAACAGAAAACAGTTATGGTAGATAAGTTAGTGTCTCTCTAGCAGATTTGGAGGTTATTTTACTGTACTAAATGTGTTATTAATCAAAAGTATTTCTCATTGCCTTGAGCCATATGGAAGTGATTTGCCATGTTTTTCTTGCTGTCCATTTGCAAAGTTATGTTTGAGGGAGCTGGCAAAGTGCCTTTAAAAAAACACTATCTTTACAAAGGTACCTTAATGAGCTGATTGAAGACGAGATTCTTTGCATGGCAGCCATGAGTGATGTGGTTGTCTTAACTTGTAAGAAGAGTCTATGTAGGAACAAACTTGACAAAAAATTCTTTGTCAAATAATTCTGCTATTCTGAGACATACAAAGCATGTACGCTAAATACACTGACTACTTAAAATTATCTATAGAAGAGCCTTTCCAGTCAGTACAGTTTGTAAGCATTCTTTTACAACCTTTTGAAAACCTCTCATATGATGAAGAAACGTACTGATGAACTATTAAAAGGCTACTGAATCCTCTCTTGAAGCAAAAGGATGTAAGGGAAAGAGGCAGGAGGCAAGAGTCAGGATATCTCATTTTCAGGACCAAGTCTACCACTGGTTGTCACTTGCCCTTGCCCGACCTTGTTTTCTTCACCTGTAAAAAGAAAAATACCTAATAGTGGCTAATGTTTATAAAATGCTTGCTATCTATCAGGCGCTGTTAAAGCACTTTATGTATACTGATTTCATCTCCCAGCAACAACCCGTGGTACATACATACCATTGTCATCCCCATTTTACAGTAAACTGAAAGGAGATAATAGGTCCTATCAGATCTCCTATAAGAATAATTAGTAAAACGTAAGGTTGTGAAGGTTTTTTTGGTCTTAATTATATTACTAATTATATGATATCCATCCGGGAAAAAAAGTGGAAAAGTGAAAAAATCTTATGTCACCATACACAAAATTAATAGCAGATGAATTTTAATTCCAAATATAAAACAATAATACTCCTAGAAAGAAGACATATGAGAATATTTTCATGAGCTTGAGGTAGGCAATAATTTCT